TCAACAGTTAAAACACTCAACAAAAAGAGGTACATTTTGGTTATTGTTGATGATTTTTTAGGTTTACTTGGGTATATTTTCTTTGTTTAAAATCTGAAACTGCTCAATTGATGATCGATTTCATTAAAAATATCGAATTGAGTCTGAAGAAAAGGGTTTGCAAGATCAAGAATGATAACAGCTCATAGTTTAAGAACAAAGTTCTCGATTCATTCTTAACAGACAAAGGAATTTTGCATAATTTTTCTTCCCCATCTACATTGTAGAAAAATGGTGTTGTTGAGAGAAGAAATCATTCTCTTTGCGAAGCAGCAAGAACAACGTTGACCTGTGTGAATCATCCACAATATCTTTGGGCTGAAGTAGTTTGTACAACTTGTTTTACTCAAAATTGATCTTTTATTCATCATCGATTTGATATCACCCCATATGAAATCATTAATCATAGAAAACCTAATATAAATTTTTCCATGCTTTTGGTTTCAGTCCAAGGTTGATTAATGAGTATTCGTAGGATATTCTCATAATTCGGTGGCATACAGGGTGCTCAACAAGCGAACCAGGAAAATTGAAGAAACATTTAATATCATGTTTGATGATTATTATGTCTAAAGAGTTGAAATTTTTTTAAACAAAAACCACGCATTATTGAATAAACTTATGAAACCGAAAGTTTGAATTCATTAGATTTGATTATGATTTAATTTTTTGTGTTCCTAATAGGGCTATTGATGCAGAAATTCATGCTAATGACAATAAATTACCTGAAGCATCAAAACACTCAGATGTTTCGAATGTTACATAAGATGTTGCTAACTTAAATTCATTGCAAATTCTCCAATACATATCGAAATAATGGCAATATTACCCAATCATCAAGTGGATGGGTAGCAATAGAGTTCATCTAATGGCATTGAGGGGGAGCAATCTTTCAAAGAAGTGCAAAATCAAGAAAATGAAAATGTTGAGGGGGGACCAACACACTATTGATCCAACTGTTGAAGGGGAGCAACATGGATCTTTTCCTAATATTTCAAATGTTTTACATGAGAATTTTCATCATATAACTGCTAATTTGTCAAATGTAGGTAAAGGATCACAAAATGACGAAATGTTCGAAGATGTGCCATTGGATTTTGATCCAACATATCCTCTGATGGATAGATGGATTCGAAGTCATCCACAAGAACAAATTATTGGTGATCCACATGCAGGAGTATTGACCAGGGATCAAATTTGTGCAAAGAATTAGGTACCAAATACTCATCAAGAATTTTTTTTATGTTTAATATGTATATGTCGAAAATTGAATCAATGTCAGTTAAGATTGCTATGGAAGATCCTGAATGGATCATTTCTATGCAAATTAAATTGGCTGAGTTTGAACAAAACAAGGTTTGGAGGCTTGTTCCGAAACCTCAAGATACTTCGATCATAGGTATTAAATGCATTTTCAAAAATCAAACTAATAAAGAAGGTAATATTGTGAGAAATAAGGCTAGGCTAGTTTTAAATGTATAGTCATAACAAGAAGGTATAGATTATGAATAAACATTCACCCCTATCGCAAGACTTGAGGCTGTTTGAATACTTTTAGCCTATACGGCACATAAGGATTTCGATATATATCAAATGGATGTTAAGTGTACATTTCTCGATGGTGTGCTCGAAGAAATGGTGTATGTTGAACAACCCCCGGGTTTTGTAAGTACTCAATATCCTGATCATTGTTATGTGTTAGACAAAGTTGTTTATATACCTAAAGAAGCACCACTTTCCTAGTATGCTACTCTTACAAATTTCTTAAAATCATCGAAATTTAAAAAAGGATATGTTGATCCAACTCTCTTTTGAAAGACAGTTGGGATTCATCTTATGCTTGTTCAAATTTATGTTGATGATATTAATTTTAGTTCTACAGATCCCAATTTGTCAAAAGAATTTGAAAAATATGATGAAGAGTAAATTTGAGATGAGCATGATGCAAAATATCTACAATTTCATGGGTTTAAATATTCGTCAAAGCAGAGAAGGTATTCTCATTAATCAGAAAAAGTGCACTTGCAATCTGCTTGAAAAGTTTGGAATGACGAATTGCTCCAATTTGTGAGTACCGATGGCGGTTGGCAGAAGACTTGGTCCTTCGATATATAAGTCGACTGTTGATCTTACATTGTATCAAAAAATGATAGGTTCGTTACTATGCCTAACGGCAAGTCGACCTGCTCTTATGTTTGCTTCATGCAATTGTGATAGGTACAAGTTGAATCCCATGGAGCCTAATCTTACAGCTGTCAATAATATTTTTTGCTATCTCAAAGGCACTATTTCGTTAGGATTGTGATATCCTTCGAAAACAGGGTTTTTCATTCAAGCATTTTCCAATGTGGACTTGGGTGGTTGTCAACTTGATCGTAAAAGCACAAGTGATGGATGTAAACTCTTGGATGGGAAGCTTGTGAGTTGAAAATCGAAGAAAGAAGAAGCCGAATATGTTGCAGCTGCATCTTCACTTCTCAAATCATTTGGATTCAAAGTCAACTACGTGATTATGCAATCAACAAGAAGATAATTTTGTTGTATTGTGATTCACAAAGGGCCATAAACATTTGTCACAAACCTCTGCAACATTCAAATACTAAACACATTACACTTCATTATCATTTTATGAAAGATCACGTTGAAGATGGTAACATTGAAGTTCACTTTGTAAAGATCATAGATCAGCTTGCTGATATCTTTCCAAAACCATTGGATGTAAAGAGCTTTCTACTAATATTGGCGGGTTTAGGCATGCTAGATGTCGATGCAATTCCTGGTCTACATGTGTTATAAAGATTGTTGATGTCAAATTTTTGGTTCATTCAGCAGTTACTGTACATTAAACCACCTTCGACATGCTTCTCTTTCGACATTCCGCTTCATTATTTATCAAAAGGTTCATTACTTTGTATAAAAGCATTGTGTCGATACTTCTATTATCTTGTTGAAATTTTGTTATTCTGGTACTTTTATTTCATTTTGGATCTTTTCATTTGAAAATCAAAAATACCAAAAATATTTTCGTATTTTTGTACTTTTCATTTAAAATTCAAAAATATGAAAAATATTTTCTTATTTTTGTTTTTCTCATTCTAATCTCAAAAATCCAAAAACAATTTATTGTTGATTTGATTAATGAGTTTGTATAGTTGGTTGTCGAAGATTTCTAAGTGCTACATGGTTTGCAGCTTTTGGGAAAGGTATTCATTCAATACTTTGTACTAGTTAAGATGTTCCTAGAAGCATGATGTAGCATGTCGACCCAAGCCTCCATAACTTAATGTGTCGAAGCCTTAATAGTTTTCTCATCATGAGGATTCCTTCCCAATTAGGCTATATTCACATTAATTCTTGAGCTACCTTACTATTCTCACCTGATTTAAGAGTTTTCTGCTTGGTCCAGTTATAGCAGAGGTACATTTGAAATCTTGAACCAACGTTTTTCATCCTAAACTTCTTACACGTTTAAACACAATGACATATGTCTAAGAAATCTCTGGAATAAACCAATCAAGATTTAGGCATATCAAACGTCTATGTTTATGATCTGGATTCATGAGACCGTGATGAAAGTGAAATCCAACCTCTCGAAACTTACAAGGAATTAATGGAGAACTTTTTAGATAATCACTAAATTCCTTTGCCATCTAAACGGTATGTTTTCTTCATAGTTTCTCAAACCCTAAAAATGGCAGCCAAGAACACAAACATTGAAGCATCTCATACGACTGATGATAATACTTTGCCTCTTATGAAGATCCAAAGCACCAATTTCAAAGTTAATCCTAATGTTGATCAATATCCAGAAGAGCTATAGATGCTTATTGTTGCTTTGAAAAGTTCTTTCTTATCTACATCAATGTTCTCTTCTTTTTTAGTACCCATGTTGTGGTTATCCTTGTTGGTTCAACAGTAGTTTATACCAAGACAATGAAACTAGTTACCATTAAACTGAAAAATGATAAGAAGTTCAAACTTACCAAGAAGCTCTTTGCAAAAATCTTGAATATCCCTAATATTGATAATTTCTATGAGGTCTCTAATGAACAAGTTCTTCACATGTTCAACGAGATGGATTATCAGCTGGTTCTCACAAAGAGAAGTGATTTCAAGAAGTTCTGCTTACCTTGTATATGGAATTTTCTATTTGGAATTTACCTTCGATTCTTAACTAGTCGACGCATTGGCTTAGACAAGGGAAAGATGTAGATTTATGCCTTGGTTGCAGGTATCTATTATGATTTACCCATTGATTACACTACGTAGTTATGGGATAAGTTCGTGAAGAGTATTAGGAATATGAATGTTGTACATGCAATTTCATGTGCTCGTTACTGGAGCTTCATTCTTCAATTCGCTTATGAAAAGGAAGGTATTTTAGTTCTTGAAGGTGAACAAACAGCTGAATTCTCATTATATCATTTTCCCAAGACTGTCGAAGATGATTCGGATATATTTCCAACTGTTGCAAGAATTCCAGATGGAATGCTTAGAAAGGTTGATCCCACGAGTCCTTTATTGGTGGCGTACATGCAAACTATCAATCCTTCAATTAAAATAAGTGTTTTACTTCCAAAGAGCACTAGTGCACCATCGAAAAAGTGAAAGGAGTCAAAGAAACAAGCTAAGGGGAGTCCTTCAAAACCGAAGCAAGTGGAGAAGGTTGTTAAAGCTACTCCAGAGAAGGTTTTTAAGTCTGATCAACCATCGAAGAAAATACAAATGCGTGTTGTTGTAGAATCTTCTTCACCTGTAACGGAGGTCATGCTTTCAAAATATGGGGTTTTGAAACATTTAAAGATGATGGATTAGAGGCCTCATCATTCTTCGAAGAGGTCTAGTAATTTTTCTCCCATATTTGTTTCAAACGTAAGACCCAAATTAGTTGCAATGGTGTTGTGATTCAATAGATTCCAACTTCTGTCTCTCCGACATCCAAAAAGTGAAGGGCTGAAGACATGGCTAAAATGATTGCTAAGAAGAAAAAGAGTGTGCTAGTTGAAGATGAAGACGAAGTTGTACCGGAGTCACCCATTCATGATCATGATATGACTATTTCATCACCAAATAGGGATTCTCCAATCAAGTCGAATGTCGAGGTGACTGGAGATCTTGATGGATGTGTGAAAATATTTCATGTGGACACAACCATTAATCAGGGTGATCATTCTAAAGAATCTACTCCTGTGAAGACTAATGTCATACCACTCGGATTCTCGAATGTTGAATCAGTTACTGAGGAGGTTCGAACTTTAGGCATCCCTATGAAAATATCTAATATAGACACAAATGTCATCATGGTTAAAGGAGTGCTGAATAATGAAGCTTAATGTAATTCTAAAATTGTTATTTCTTCTACTTTTGACACATCTACCATTTCCACCAATCTCTCTTTACCACCATTTGTTTCTAGTATTTCCACCATTTAACCATCAACTACTCATTCTCCAACTTTTGATGAAATCCTTCAACAACCTATTACTTATCCTTTTCCATCCCAATCCATTGATGGCCCAAAAACATTTAATGATGATGCCACCACTGATGATGGTGATTTACGGGTACATTTGTTGATCTCAAATTTGATCCGGAGGAAGAAAACATACCAAATCATATGCTAATGTCCGGTAAATAGTTCAAAATTCTTAACAGGAAGTTGAACTCATTATTACAACTTCAGGTGGATGTAGGGGGTTGTCATTCTATTTCAGGAATAGATGTTGTCATAATGCTCAAGGCTTAAGAGCGTCGTCTGAGGGATGAATTCGAAATTATAGACAGAAACAATGAAAAACGTGTCAAGGCTTAATCGTCATCTTTTGATCAGAAATTGAAAGAACCGAAAGTTATGGTGAAAGAAGACATTTTTTTATATGTTGAAACTACTAAGCAAGCTCGAGAAGATGTTAATCTAAAACTGGAGGAGTTACGGGTAGATATGGCGAAGGAAGTTGATGCGATATCTCATGATTTTTCTACTCTTCACACCAAAGTAGATATCATTGCAGCCGTAATGACAAATGTTGTTAAATGGTATCAATCCTTACTTCCAAAGGTTAATAAAATAGCAGAGCTTAATACACAAAGTTTTTCTAAGGTTGAAGATTCGTTGATAAACCATAAGGATTTAGTCTTGAAGATTGGTTCATCATCTTCGCAGATTACTCCTCATTCTTTGTCCTAAAAGTTTGTTACTTTGGAGTTGACACTCAAAGTTGAATTGGCTCCATTAGCCAACTTATTAAACTTGATGCCAACAAATGCCCCACCTGTTCAAACATGGGTGAAAGCTGAATTGGCATTGGGGCGAGTTCGAAGGTTAGCATGGGGGCAGTGGATCTTGAAAAGGAGATGAAGATGAAAAGGTTGTTAGAAAGGTGAGAACTACTCAACTTCACACCTCATTATGAAATATATCCACAATAACAACATCAACAACAACAAAACCAATAACAAAAGGCATAGTGATAGCAACTGCTGGTGGAGGGTCAAGTTCATCGAAACCACCTCCTTCCACTAAAGAAATACAGAATACATGAAAGGGGATTTTCTCTAAGCCTACTTCCAAAGAAAAGAAATCTGCAATTGGAAAGGAGATGGTGAAATAGAGTCAAATAAAAAGTATTCTTCGTCAATGGGAAAATGACCCTCCTGGTCTCAACAAAGGTGATCCTTAGAAACATTATACTTATGAGTATATCGAAGCTTTGGTGGTGACAGGGGAGATGCATGATTTTTAAAAAGTCCCTAAGAAGAGTTATGATATGAAGAACTCTAATTTCAATTAGCTGCATTTTCCTATCAATATGATGATGTTTTTGGATGACCAGTTCGAGATGGCAGATAATTACAAAGATAAAATTGAATTTAAACGAATGAAGTTTCAATTCCATTTTGTGTTGGGAAAAGGGGAGGAGGATGTACGGTCTCTAGTCAAGATATTTCGTGTGCTCAATGTTTCCAACGATGTTCTATTTGAGGATATGTTGCAGAATTACTGATATCATGCAGTCCGAGCCAGCAACGTCTCTTTTGATTTCCTGGTTGCAGACTTTCCCATAATGAATCTTCATGATTTGTTATATATTTCAAAATTGGTTTTGCTCACCCGAAGGTATTTATTGATGGATACTATGGTTCTTTGGTGTTAACCGTGTCATCCCCAAATTTCTCGAACATAAAAGACCGATTTAGTTTATCCTCTAAAAATAAAGTCAGAGTAATCTTCCAAAAGATGTTGCAGAATTTGTCCCCAAAACAAAATATGATAAAAATTTTATCAAAGCGTTTCTTGAAGAAATGTATTTCATTATATAAAACCTCGGGATGTCATGTTTGATACAGATCAAAAGCATAAACAGTACACTATAGGCCTTACAAGATGTGTTTAAATTTACTGGCCTATAATCCAAAAATCCTTTGTCATCATCCAACTATGATCTCGTTCCACTACCTATGACATAAAAAGTTGAGTGGGTCACGCTTGGGATCCTGGTGAGCATATAGGGTTTTCAACCCACAAACAATAAATTTATTAATTTCATCAACCAAAAATAAATTTATTTATTATGTTTAAACATCAAATTATCAACAAAATTTCCCACCCCTATTATATTCTTTACTCTTAAGGATCCACCCTCATAAATCAGGCATTCATCGTTAATTTATTCCTAAGGATTAACATAAGGAATAGGCACGAAATCCATCCGTGCTTATGGTGTAGCTGCCAATGTTATTTACTTTGGCACAACTACCAATAACATCATTTATTCTCTATTAGGCACTACTGCCAATGTTATTCATTAGGAGAAACTTGCGATAACATCGTTTAGGCACAGCTTCCCAGACAATAACATCATTTATTCTTAATTAGGCACAGTTGCCAATGTTATTTATTAGGCGTAACTGCCAACAATATCTATATCATCTTTCATCCCTCATTCTTTATCTACCCATGTTTTACCCAACATATTTGTATATATAAAATACATATACAATTTAAAATTTGTATAAAACATTCTTCCATCTACCCATGTTTTACCCAACATATTTGTAGATATAAAATACATATACAGTTTAAAACCTGTATAAAACATTCATTCAACATCCCTCTCAAATAAACAAACAACATATATACACATAGCACATATTTTATATAAAATATTTCATATCTATGTGTAAGATGAAAGTTACTATACACTCACTTAATAAGAAAATCATTGGACAACACTTATTTAGACAATATTCTTTGATGAAACCGGGATGATTTCTCAAAAACCGGGCTTCAAACGGACAAAGTTTTGTCTCAAAAAACTCTTTTTCTCGGGATCTTCGGGGTTTGGGACTTGCTTCAGGTATTAGGGATGATATAATAGGCTTGGGGGTAATTTTTGCAATGTAGAAGAAATAATAGCCTCGGAAGAACGCTACGTGTTCCCGAATGCAGTGCATTCCGGTTGGTGTGTGGCTTTGGACGTGTCAAGATGCGAGATACATGTCCACTGCATGCGAACGTTGGGCGTTCCCTCGAACACAACACGTTCCCTTCGGATAAGCTTCGAAGTTTGTGCCCAGAACTCAAAAATTCATATCGTTTTCATACGAACTCCATTTTTACGTTATTTATATCCACGCGTATGTGAGATTATACTCTACAATTTTTGTTTATACTCCGTCGGCTAATTTTGACCTCATTTTTAATAATATATTTTTAACAGGCCGAAACAGGAAAAGTCTGTTAAAAATTCATAAGTTATTCATCCGACGTATGTTTTCGTCTATCTTTTTACTGTTAAACTACTATCGACGAGATTTTTTATTCTCGTTTAGGTTGTGTCGGCTAAAAATCATGCAATTTATAGTTTGAATTCTGGGTTGCATACTGCTAGTCCGAAACTTGGAAAAATCATAATTTCCTCATACGAAGTCAGAGCTAGGTGTTCTTTTTATGCACGCTCTCGGTTTCACGAATACTATGACTTTCATTTAGATCGCTAAGTTTAAAAAGAACTTTATCATAAATTCACTTTTTACGTCATACATCGTCGTGCCGGTTCTGTCGCGAAACTTCGACAGGTCATAAATTCTTCGTTATAACTCGGATTTTCGTATTCTTTATATCTCCGGAATCCTTAGTTCAACCACTACAACTTTCTTCATAGATACCGGCTTTATATAATATTTATTTTCGATGCTTATTTTATCATTAATTTATTAAATCATAATAATTAAGTTTAAAGCACATAATGCATTCTTAATACTTTAAAACGAGTTCCAATGGTTGACCTAGACTATTACACTATCATTAATGCTTAGGCCAGAAACACGGGCGTTACATTAACAAATGTTAATCTAGCTCTGACATTGGGAAAATAGGTCACAGTTCGCCAATCCATGTTAAAAAGTTAGAGTAGTTTGAAAGATTATGAAGATGCAGAGATTTACTTGAAACATGTGGGAATTGTTTTTATTGGCAAAAACAAGAAGGGAAACAACACAAAATTCATGTTTCAAGTATGTGATGTTGAGAGGTACACAACTCGTCATTACACAAATCCTATGGTTCGAATGAATAGTTATGCCAAGAACAATGATAAAGAAAAGGCTGAAATTAGAAAGGTGACTAATTGGTATGCTGAAATTAGAAGAGTTATTCACCAAGCTGCTCAGTTGATAATGTCATAGATTCGACACTTCTCACAAATGGGGAGAATGTTAAGGTTGAAAATTGTTGTGAGGTGTCGAAGTTCTTTTATGTCTTAAGTAGTATCGAATGTTTTGTTTGTAAAGTTTATTATAAGGGCACAATATATCAAAGGTTTTAATTTCTTAATCCTTTATAAATTTTGTATGCTTTCCTGATCCTTATAAATATGGGATGAATGCTAGAGTTAGAGAGTAATTGTGTCACTTTGTATGTTCTTTCTAAAACTTCTCTATATTCGAAAGCATAAATGAGCAAAACAGATTATATTAAGATCGTGTGTTCTCATTTCTTACTTTATTAATTTGATCTAGTAACGTATACTAGATTAATACAATGCTTTAGATTTTAAGCTAAATGATTGTAGCATGTTCCAAATCTGTAGGATAGTAGACCAACACACATGTTCTTCAACACAATGAACCCACATCTTCACCAAACAAGCAAAAAGGTAATTAGACATTTTGTTTCAGATCTGTTAGGTAATGATCATGGTAGAGCCTACTGTGGAAGCCACATCCGACAAGATTTAACATTAAGGTTCAACTTCTACGTTACCTACAAATAATCATGGTGTGCCAAATAGTATGCATTTAATCTTCTTAGGGGAACTCAAGCCGAAAAATTTACTAATTTGCCCATACACTATTACAACCTGGAGAAATGTAATAGTGGTTCAATTACACACTTTAAAACGGCTGTTGGAGACCGTTTTGAGTTCATATTTCTATATGTTGGTTTCATGGTAGTAATTATCATTTGTTTATGAGTTTATTTTCATTAAATACAAAGTTTATGTAATTATCATCTATTTATTACCATGTTTTTATTAGCTTGTAGCTAAGGTCATTTCATAACATATTTCTTCGTGCCCTTGTGATTGACAAATCCCACATTAAGGGTGAACTCACGGGCACCATGTAGGTAACGGTGGTAATGGACGAAAACAACCAAATTCTGCATGTTGCCTATGAAATAACAATAGTGAAAGAACAGAGTCATGGTCATGGTTGATACAAAACTATATCAATATATCGGGGATATGGAACCATTAACATTTATTTTAGATAGAGTTCCCTCCATTGCCACGACCATTGCAGATATTTTCCCAAATATGTTTTCATGGTGTATGTGGTTATCATCCCTTGTAGACATAGTAACCAAATTTAATAGGAATATTACAACAAAAAAACTATTTTGGAAGGATGCCAAATCTTATAGAGTCGAAGGCATTTTAGTATTATATGGAGGCACTATGTCTGAACAATCCTGCCGGATATAACTACCTAGTAGATGAGGATCCAATAAAATAGTCATTAGTATATTTCTAGGGTTATCATTATAATATTATGACTTCAAATCATGCAAAATCTATCAATGTATTATCGAAGGATGTTTGTAATATGCTTGTACTGATGCTCCTTGAGTTCTTTTGAATGACCATGTAATAATGGTGTTTTATGTGTCGAAATAAAGGAGCC